CGAATGATTCCAGTTTTGAGGAATTCTTTGACTATATTTTTTATCTCAGTTTTCTAGTAGTGAGGATACCTGTAAGGTCTTACGTTAACTGGTGGCTGGTTTGGCAGCAACGGTATCCAATGATCATAGCTGCGCAGAGGCGGCAACCTAGTGGGTTTTTCAAACACGTGCAAATTCTGATAGTATTTTACTAAGGTCTAGTGGCATTTTGTTTGCTTGAATAGCGTCATCTATCATCTCATGAATAAAGAACCCCATACCTGATAAGTGCAACAATTCATTTTCACTCATAGTAGCGAGCTCAGAACTTCTCATTCCTCACACTACATGAGTCCCACCAGATTGTGTGAAAGTCATACTGAGTTCCTTGTAGTCTATTTGAATTGGACCTAATGTCACCAACCATTGCACTCCTAAAACAGCGTGATAGGTAGCCTCGGGAAGCATGTAGAAATTAGCTTGTACAATGAATCCTTGAATGGAGAGGGAGAGTCATATACAACGTCCAGTGCACTCAATAATTTCTTTGTTTCTGACAGTTACCTGAACTAATTTTCCACAGACCACTAGTAATCCAAACTTGGTAACTACAGACTGTTCAATAAAATTATGGGTACTGCCCCAATCAATAAGCACTATCACTTCTCGATTCACGATCTTCCCAATAACGTGAAAGGTTTAGGGATGGGTAGTTTCTATTCGGTGGTTCAAGCATTCAGACATATACAAATTTCCATGATTCGATAATTTATCTATTCCACGAGCTAATAATTTATATTAATTATTTTAAAAAATAATATAAAAAATAAAAATAAAAAAATTCTTCTCAACTCAACTTTATTTACTCAAGCTTTCTCTACTGTTTTTTCATTTTCAGTTTTTTCTCTATTTCTCAGCTCTTTAATATGTATATTTATAAACAAAACTAAGGAGACTGGAGCATAAATCATGCTATAATTTATACCATCAATTAAGTTTTTATTATATATTAAGTAAGAGATAAGATAACGTTTGTCTCCATTATCAATACCAACCAAGGCATGAAATGATATTTCAGGAACGGCATCTTCTAATGATTCTATATCCATGTCCATATCAATTGTTTCTTCTTCTAACTATACATCAACCATCATAAACATATGCGGTCGCATACAACGATGTCCCGTAATGTACTTTTCATCAAAATAGAAGCATAATCCCTTTTCATATCTCGCCCTAGCCTCGTGTCTCATGAGTCACCTAACATGTCCATTGAGAATGCCAATTGCCAGAGGTGATTGATGTGAGGGGAAGGGTCCAAGCAGTCCCACCGTGGTACTCTATTGAGGTCGGGACTGATAAGAGGGAACTGCTGGTCGAATTTGGTAACCAAATTTTTGCTAAAAGTGGTTTCATTCCTCAATGAGATGAGCTACACTAATTATTTCGGATTGCATTTTTGGTTGCTTAACTTGTACATCGAATCGTATATCATCCTTCAATCCTCCAATGAAACAACTCATCAAAATTTTTTATGGTATATCTCGTGGGATAATTTTTTGCATATCTCTTGATAAATAATAATATATTGAATTAATTCAAGTTAAATTTAGAAACTCAAAACATAAAATTATAATAACTTTATATAAAAAAAATAAAATAAAAATTATAAAGGTATATTTTTAATTTACTCAATATTAAAAAATAAAATTTTAAAAAAATATTCAATTAAAAAAAACTAAAAAAACCGACCCTGGTCTTCGTTCTCTATCTCTTATGCGCCAATGACTGCCTAGGTTGTTTTCTTTGAAGACCCTACACTTCGAAATAAGACATGGTTTTGGTGATTAGCAATGAAAGTTTGTGTTTTCTTTGTTATTTTAATATTAAAGCTTCCTCCACTAGACGACATTAGCTTGTTTGTAATAATTATTGTTCCATTAATCATTATCATTCAATCCAATGAAAATAAATAAATAAACAAAAAACCATAGTCTTTTCTATGCACGCTCCATTAGTGATTAATTATTTTATAAATCTTCAATCTCATAGGTTTTTTCTTTTTCTTTCTCTTTTTCTTAGTAATGAATTGAATCTGGCTTGTTTTTTTAGAGGATGAAAGTTACACATGTTGAAGCACAATATCAAAACTCAAATTTATAGAATTGCAGGTTACATATATAGAGATTATGTGGTTTGGGCCTTTTCTATCCATTGCTGGGCTATGTGCTTTGTCGTTTCGACTCTTAGGAAAGCCTGTGCACCATGCATTTCTGACCTGTGATAATAGGATATTATGATCCAATGCCACATCATCCCCGGAAGATTTTAAAGATTCATATAGAAAGGGTATTGTTTTGAAATTAAATTAAATTAAATTTTAACCGGGTTAATTATGTCTCTATTTGACATTTTATATTATTCGAGTTTCAACGGGTTAAATCTTGTTTGAATTTATTTTTTTAGAATCGATGTGTTACGCCATGCCACATTTAATAAAACAATGACTGCATTTGTTCTTATAATAGACTTTTCATTAATGTATAATAGGACTCTTTTCTTTCCAGTTTGTAATTCGTCTAATCAAACACTTCAGGTTCCGATATGTGATTCTTTCTCTGGGTGGAGACCTTGGCTCTGCTATGGTGATGTTTGAATGAAATTAACCATGGTTTTTCAAATAATAATGTGACCTTGTATTTTGCTTTTGGATTTTAAAACAAAATAAAGATCTTCGAGTTGGGAGAGGGGGAAGTTTATTGTTCTTGTGCTGGATTTGGACTGGGGAGAGCTTGGAAGTTCATTGGAATGGTTGCAGTATGTGGGCATGTTTTCGTCGATCACACCGAACTACGACTTGAACACACCAAACTAGACAAAAGCCTAAAATGCTTAATCAAATGCTCACTCCTCCAACTTAATAAAGATTGAAGACATGAAGACCTTACTGATCTGTAGTGATTCCGTTGCAGATAAGGCATAAAGAATAAGAAGCACGATAACATTAAATCAAAATTAATCCATGTTGATCGATCAATCCAAATGGTGTAGCTGTCAAGCTGCTCGAGTTTCACCAATGAATTCTCACCTATTTTTTGAGGCATAGCACATACTTTAAGAAGTCAAATAAAGTTGGCATGACGGAAGTAATGATTACAGCAAAGACAATATACATGTGCTCCATGAGTTATCCAATCCTTTATTTCTAGCACTTATCGTGCATCCCTTTCCCAATTCTAGCTCGATAAATTGAATCTCCTCTCCATTGATTTTTACATCCAAGAAAAAAATATATCAATAGAAGGTAAACATGAATTATCCAATGTTATTGTTGTGCTTACTCCTCCTTGCCTTTGCCTGCACAAAGCAGTCAATAGCTGCCGCTGAACCAGTGCTGGACATTGATGGTGAAAAGCTTGTAGCAGGCACCAAATACTATATCTTGCCAGTGTTCCGTGGGAGAGGAGGTGGGATTACGATGGCTAGCAACCAAACCAGCTGCCCACTTGCTGTTGTCCAAGACCGTCTTGAGGCATCAAAGGGTCTTCCACTTACTTTCACACCAGCTGCCGACGACAAGAAAGGTGTGATCCTTGTTTCTACTGATCTTAACATCAAGTTTTTAGATAAGACAACATGTCCCCACTCAACTGTATGGAAGATTATAAAGTCTTCGAACTCGAAGGTACAATGGTTTGTGTCAACTGGTGGGGTTGAAGGAAATCCTGGTTTTAATACGGTGGGCAACTGGTTCCAGATTGAGAAAGCTGATGATGACTACAAGCTTGTTTTCTGTCCTACTAAAGTTTGTAAGTGTGGAGTTTTATGCAGGGACATTGGGATTTATATTGAGGATAATGGGACTAGAACACTGTCTCTTAGTGATGCATTACAACCTTTCAAAGTCCAGTTCAAGAAAGCTTTGAAGAAAAACTCGTGAGTGAATGCTCAAAACCTTGCGAGAGCTAGCTACTTCGTAATAATAAATGTACCCTTTTATGCTGCTCTTGTTCTTGGTTCTAGTATGTTAGTGGTCTCGATTTCCCTGCATGCCTTCTTTTCCCAAGTAGAGCCCATGGCTCTGCTGTAATAATGTTTCAATGAATCCATATGGTTTATCAGAATAATAAGGTTGGGTTTCTTGTATTTTGCTTATGAATTTTGAAATGAGAACTTACATATTGGTATAATCTTAGACTTGGATTGGGAGAGATGAAATTTCTTCTCTAGATTACCTTACAAAATGTCTGAAACTAGATTACTTGAGAGGCAGAATTTGCCTAAGAACTTGCTTGCTGTAGATTCCTGATAGCTTTTTCATAACACAAGAACCCCATAAACCAGAATTGAAAATTGTCATATGTGAGTATTTCTGTATTGTTGTGGCTTTTTCAAGACAATAGGATTTACGGGAAAAAAAAAAGGAAAAAGAAAATGAACCTGTTATGTAAAGGATCTTTTTTAGTTTCCACATCAAAGAGATTTTTTTTTTTTTAGAATAGAATTGATTTATCTTTTTTTATCATGATGCTGTCAGATTGAAGGGATTTTTTCCCCTTTTATCTCAGGACCAAGAAGTTGGATACTGGATAACACTACTATTCTTCAACATTTAGGGTGAAAATGAATCACTGTAACAGTCTTGTTTGCTTGCATAAACTGATCAGAACCCAATTATTGACTCACCTTGTAGGGTGTTCTGACAAATTGTCCATAGAAGAAGGGATGGTAATCGCCTTTCACTGCAGAAGGCAATCTTATCAGTGGAGCCCTGCAATAGGACCAGCTGTGGTTGATAAATAGCACTGTGATGCCTTTAATAGCTCTTCTCCTTCACCGACACCAAATTCCTGCTTTAACACATTCTCCGTCCCAGCTTGTTGAGTTGTTTTTGCCCCTAATCTCAACTTCGCTTTCACTGTTTCAGAGAGTTTTGCCCCCAGTCTCACTGCAAATTATATTATGTCACATAATGTGGACTAGACTTTAATAATTAGAATTAGAAAAAAAAAGTTCTGATTTTCATTTTTCAATGCTAATCATTTCATGCAAAGAGTACAACTTTTAGTCTTATTTTGGAGGGGATTTGTTCAGAAAGGAAACAGCCAAATAGATCTTTCTCTATTCATCTTATTGTCATTGACTAAGTAGCTAGACAGATTGACCCATTTAAGATGAACTTTGCTAGCTATGCTATGGACCACGTAACAGGCACAATACCCAGATCCTTATTCAATGCCAAAGCTTCCCACACAGCGTCTGATCCATCAACAATATTATTCTCACACGGTGGCAGAAACCCATGCTCACTATCAGATCCATGCAAAGTATTAAATTCATCCACAACCTTAGCAGTCACACTCCTTCCATTACTAGCACTAATCTTGATCATCCTGCCACATCTTGACCCGCCATCATACCATCCTGTTGATAGCGCAAGCACTCTCTCAGTTTTGGCATGGTACCTCTCATCACACTCTGACGGTGCTCCTCCTTCACCGCCTTCACTAAAATTGTTCAAAGTTAATTTAGCTTTCGTAGTGGATGTCACTGGAGATGAGAATTTATATTTAGTTGGGAAGGATGGTTCTTTACATAAACGTTCTCCTGAGAGAGGGCGGTTGCCTGGAGGTGGTGGAGAAGAAGGGCTGCTGCCTCCTCCTTTGCATATGTGGGTGTCAACATCAGGATCATCATTGCATTTGCCTTTGATGCATATAAGCTGGCCATCACAATCATTCAAGGTATTACAAGGGCCATTGCAAGAAGAAATTGCGTGCGAAGAGATGATGCTGCGAAGAAAGAACACACAAACTAAAACAAATATCTTTTCCATTTGCCGTTCTTTTTTATGCTAGCTTTTCGGTTGAAGAGAGATACAACTAGGTTAGATTTGGAATTATATATAAGCCTAAGGTTAAGGAGTTCCATGGAAGAAGCTTTCGTATTCAATTTTACTAAAATCTCGTCGTCAAAATCAACCAAAAAAGCCAGTCCAATTAAGTAGGCATTTGGCAATAAATGATCACAATTATGTTAAAATCATGAATTAACTATTAAAATTTTATGATTTTATAAGTTAATATGTATTTAACATACTAAATTAAACAAAAAATTCAAAATTAATAAAATTAAACTTAACTTATATGAAATTAGCAAAATGGGTAAACTCAATTCAATTTAACGAGTTTAATAAATTTATGATATGAATCATGTCAGGTTCAAATTTAACCTTAAAATATCTGCTAACTAGTTTTGCAAGAACCATATTATTCAAATTGTATATTGGATAAAGCTAAAATTTTATAGGAAAATATTATATATATAAAATTATATTGTATTAAATTTTCAGGTCAAATGGAGATAGGGAATATAATATTTCAAAGGGTCAAATTTAGTAATTAGTATTGTTAAATATATTAAGCAAGACCTTCATGTATTATTTAAGACATATCTACAGTTACTTGTGAATTTTTTTTAATTAAAGTTGGGATAAGAACTAAATATTTGAAACTTTCCAACTATATATCATAGGTCTAATAATTCATCCAAATAAAAAAGAATATGTTTGAAATTATGACTCAAATCTGCCAGGAATATGCAAAAACTGAAGATTCAGACTCCATAGGGGGATTTTAACATGAAATTTTTATTATTATTCTATTTTATTTTTATTTAATTTTAAATAATTATTTTTAATTTAAATTTTTTCTAGTGCATTAAATATTGTTTAGGAGTTTATTTCATTATTGAATTTATATTAGTTAATTACTAATTTAAACTTATTAATTTACAATCCAAAAGAAGTCTATCAAAATTTACTGTGATAAGAACAACCAAATTATTACTAGATTTATATATGATTGCTACCTTTCAGTATTTCTCTTCTCTATGTCATTAATTTATTGATTCATTTTATCTATTTATTTTATTTTATTTGAATTATTTATTGATTATAATATTGTTTACTTATTTTATTATATTTTAATGAAATTAATTTTTAATATATAATTAATTAAAAAATTACTTATGATTTTATAATTGATTGTATTTTTGATATTCTGTTAAAAAAAAACTTTTTTTTTTTTTGACAACCTCAAATGATCGGTTTCCATCATGCCATGATATACAGTACAGGATAGGATAAAGAATGGGGAAATCAATGGTCGGCTTTTGCTTTCTTGACACATGCATGTGTCTTTTGAAAATATAGTAAGAAAACTCGATAAATTTTGCGAAGAAAAAGACAAACATAAAAAGAAAAGAAAAAAATAATGATGGCAGTACTGTAGTGTAGATGGCTATTATGGTCCGAGTCTATCCTCTAGTTATGCACGGTGTGTGTGTGAGAGAGAGAGAGACCTTTTAAATGACCAAGTAAATGACCTTTTAAATGCTAAGATTATATATAATAATTTTCATTGATCAAACCCAAAATGATAAATGGACTTGTTGTTAATTTTCATTACAGGTTGGAGGGCTGCCTGCCATATATTTTGTCCGTGCGGGTCCTGCAATATATTAATTCAAAAGAGTTGTCACTCTCCATCAATTGATTCGTTGTATTTCGGTTACGTGAAAGCATTTTTTTCCACAAATATTGTTTGTTGTCTTTCTCACAAATTAAGAGGTCTGGTGCTGGGATAGAGTTTAATTTTGTGGCAACCAACCCGGAGGGCAACGCGGTGTGCTGCGATGCAACCTCCGGTGTACCGCGTTATCAAACAGTCAGGGTGTTATCAAATGTACTGTGTTGTCAAATGGTGTTAAATTAATTATTTATTTGGTATTGTGTTTTAAAAATATTTTTTAAAAATTTAAATTTTTTTAAAATTAATATATTTTTTGATATTTTTAAATTATTTTAATGTGCTCATCTCAAAAATTATTTTTTAAAAATCAAAAAAATATTATTAACATATTTTTCTAAATAAAAAATATTTTATAAAATAATTATAGCAACACATTTAAATACACTATAAACCCCAATAGTAAAGCAAACAAAAAAATTTATAAAATTAATTAGCAAATAGAAAAACTAGGGGAAGAGGGAGGATATAAGCCTGTGACTGTGTAGAGCAACCCATGGATCAAACAATAAAGGACCATGGATGGATTGAATGGGTAATCATCTAGATTAATTTTATTTTTTAAAAAATAAATAGGTTAAAAATGTTGTTTTGTACAAAACAATTAAGAAAAAGATTATTTGGATTTTGATTAAATTTTACTGGGTAAATATCCGGTATCAAATCAACCCGCCCGCCCCCCCCCAGACTAATTCAGCTATGTATAGACAGACTGAATTTAAGGTCTATCAGTCGAGCCAGTCAAGCTTTACAAGGGTTCTACTGACAGTTTCCTGTGTAACAAAATTTGAGCCATTTTTTGATCTTTAGCACTTTCTCTGTGTAACAAAATTACTCTAACGTCCATTCCATGTCCATCTTTTAATTCCATCTCCTCCATGTAGCAATGGAGCTCAAAACCTCTATAAATTAAATTTTTCTCTTCCTCTTAATCTTGATTAATATGTCAAAACTATTTTTCTAAAAATATAATTCCTTCTTTAAAAAAATTTAATTCCATATAGAATTCAAGAATTATCTATCACTAATTAATGACTTCTTCTTAAAAAATAATAACTAATAATTAATTATATGTTTGGAAGCAAGTGAAAGTTTGATAATTTGTTATAATTTCTAACGAGACATAGTTATTAAACTTGTGTCAGCTCAAACTTAACCCATGATCATAATGAGTAAGATAAAGAATTTGATAATAAAAAAAGATAAACAAAATCCTTGAAAAAGATCTCGATTAGAAAAAAGAATTAAGTTTTATTATTGTGACAAGGCTAAGTATATTATTATAATAAGTCTTTTGGAGGGGCATTAAACTTTTTAAATCTAAAGATTAAGTTCTTCTTTAAGGATTCTCGTGTCAAAGTTAAAAGAAAAACTAGTAGAAAGCTTAAATGTATTTGAGCTAATAATGGTGGTGAGTACAAGGATCTTTTCGATAGGTACTTTAAGGAAAATGATATTAAGTTGGAGAAGATAATTTATAGAATTTCATAACAGATTGAGATAGCTAAGAGAATGAACATAACAATTATTGAAAGAATTAAATATATACTCTCCCATATAAAGTTGTTTAACTCCTTTTGAAGTGAGGCAATAGAGATTATAGTTGTCATGATCAACTTTTCTATAGTAGTTTCTTTGGACTTTGATGTTCTAATTTGAGTATGGAAAGGAAATGATGTCTCCTATGCATACTTGAGAGTATTTAATTGTAAGACATTTGTACATGTTCCTAGAGATGAAACATCTAAGTTTGAAAATAAAACAAACCTATGTCTTTTCCTGGGTTTTGAAGATGAGTTTGGCTACAAGTTATAGGATCCAAAAAAGAAGAAAATTGTTAAAAGAAGAGATATTGTTTTCTTTGAAAACCAAATCATTGAAGACTTTGAATAGAATGAGAAAATATAACTCAGTATTTGTATTCCTACTAATTCAAATTTGAGACCTAATCCACAGTTAAGTTTGATATCTTTTAATCATGGGAAGGATTTTTAAAATGATGATAATGGTTTGTCTATTGAACCACTAGTTAATGATGATGAAAATGCTGATGTTATTCTTGAATAGATTATCTAAAAAGATTCAAATAAGCTATAATTAATAAGATTCATTAGACCTCACCAACCTTTCACCATATATTCTCCTCAAGAGTATGTGGTGATTACTGATGGTGAGGCCAAAATGCTTTGTTAAGTTATGTCATGTGAGAAGAAAAATAAGTGATTGCAAGCCATGCAAGTAAAGATAAAATCTTTATTTTGAGTTACTAAAACTTCTTAAATGCAATAGAGCACTCAAGAATAATTAGTGTTGCATTGTGACAGTTGCTATTTATGAAGAATTTCTTACATGAACTTAGACTAGTTCAAGAAAACTTTATGTTGTATTGTGACACTCAAGGTAAAATATATCTTAGTAATCATTCTATTTTTCACTCCCAATAAAAATACATTAAGGTTAAATATCAATAAATTCAAGATGCTATGAAGATGAAGTTATTTATTAGTGAGAAGATCCATACCAATAATAATGTATCAAACATGATAAAGCTTTGTAGAAGAGAAACGAACCTAGTAAAGCTTACCAAATTGAAGCTTACATGCTAATCATCGACATGATAAATTCCTCACATGATGCTTAAAGGAGGATTTGTTATGTATGGTCTCATAGCATATAACAATTAGATCACTATGTATTTTAAATGGAAAAAAAAAAAAGAAGAAGAAGAAGAAGCGAAACAGGTGATATAACCAGAAAAATTCATTATCGTGGTGCAATGGTTTTTCAAGAAAAAATAAGAGCATAAAAGATAAAAATGAAAGAGAAAGATGAGTAATACATCTTCATTCAATGATTTCCAACTTATTCACTACTAAATCAGGCTAAGATTTTGACAACAAATTTCAAATATAATGCTTTTATTTATAAATGGTTGGATGGAAGAGTGGTGTCTAAATAGGTTATTTTGGCATAAAACAGAGTGGTTAGCATTATGAGATTTTCTCAAACTTATTTCTTTTTAATTTTATTATATTTCAAAAATAGATTATTTTTGATATTGTAAATGTTGCAATCCTTAATTATAGTTAAGGAAGAACACTTTTAAACTCATTGTTTATTGTTAGTGAAAGTTTTTAAATAGATTGTAGTCTCGTGATTTTTTATATATTTGATTTTTCATATAAAATTCTTGGGGTTAAATGATGTGATTATTTGTATTATTTTATTAATTTTAATTCCACTTCCAACAAGCACAAACTTAAATCAATCACCACTAATATAAATCTTTGAGAAATTCAAAGAGATATATTG